CCTGCCCCTGCTAGTGACTGCCAGGTTGGCATCCAAATCTGGCCAGAGATGCAAGCAGCCCTAAGCCAGGAGGTGGCCTAGGCTGATGTTTTTCCAATGAGACAGTGTCTTTTATCTCCTCTCTTATTTGGTTTTGCTTTTGACAACAATTTTGTCTTGACTTTTTAAAATTAATTAATTTGTTTCTTACATACCAATCCCAGTTCCTCCTTTCTCCTCTTCTCCTGCTCCCTTTGTCTTGACTTTTTAAAATATATTTTTTTAAGGCTTAGTCCTCTAAGTGTAGACTATAATTGGCAAAATTAATAGAATTTTTACACACATCAAACAAAGTGTCTCTGGTTTGATAAATGTAGACTCAATGAATTTGAGGACATTTAAGGATAAACATTTTGGTTCAATCCAGGACATTTGAGATAAAGTTGACATCTAGAAGACTTATTTAGTTTCTTGTTCTGGGATAATCTTTTTATACACTGTAAAGATGTGTTTCTCCCAAGGCACCTTCTGATTGGTTTAATAAAGATCTGAATGGCCAATAGGTAGGCAGGAGAGAATAGGCGGGACTTTTGGGGACAGAAAGGACTCTGGGAACAAGAGTGATTGAGTGAGACACTGAGCAAGTCTGGCATACAAAATGGAAGAAGGTAAAAAGTCATGTGGCAGCATGGAGATTAATAGAAGCAGACTAATTAAGTATAAAAGCTAGCTGGGAACAAGCCTAAGCTAAGGTCAAGCTTTCAGAATTAATAAGTCTCAATGTTATTATTTGGGGGCTGGCAGCTGATAAGAAAGTCTGACTACAGTTTCTTTTTAAGAGAAAATAGTTATTGACCATAGTAAACAAATCCTTACTTATGTTACCTTGATTGAGGAATAAAAAGGCTTTTATTTATATCTTTAATTACAATAGTCTTTTAGTGTTTTTTCCATTTTTTTCAAATAAGAGTTAAATCCGAGTTTTTTATATATATATATATATAGTACATATATATATCGTATACTGTAGTAAATTATTATTACCCATGTATATATTTTTAATTATCAACCTATTTTGTATTAACATTTTGTTATAGATTTTATAAATCTTTAACTATATCCCGTAAATTTACAAATCTTGAGGTACATAAAGGTCATATAATAACTTTACAAATCTTGAGATAGTTTTATATTTTAGCAAAAAAATTCAAATGAAACCAACAGTCTAATTTTGTTTTGTTTTGCTCTTTTTTTCTGTCACAAAATCAGGTGGATCACTTGTCATGGAACATACAGTAAACTTTTAAATAGGCTGGCTTGGCTCTAGAGAAGGGGGAGCCTTAACCCAATACCAGCACCATGTTTCAATGAAGAACAGCATAAAACAGTATTTCAATATTCTTTATACTTAAAAATTGAATACATTGATCAAGCAGAGCAACCTGAGAACAGAGAAGGCTCAAAGATAGAAGTTATGAGATTTAATTATTAAATCTGTCAGGCAAGCGACCAAAGTGGTTACTATCCTGGTTGTTCTCCTGACAGGCCTGCCCCTTCCTCCCTTTTTGGGCAGCATTTTTTTTTCCTTCTGTGTTTTCTGTTGCTCACCCTCCTATCTGTATAGTGTTTTATCCTATCCAGTACCTAACAGCAGACTCAGGAAGAGAAAACAAGGCCAAAAGTTTTCTGAGGTGGGGCAGGCCCCTGTGGCAGATTTAAAGAGACAAACATAGCAAGAAACAAAAACAATAAACACAGAACACAAAACATTCAAGGGATGGAATCAGCAAAACAAACAAACAAACAAACAAACAACAGTAAGCATAGAACACAGAATGTTCACATAGTCAAAAGAGACCAGTCGAAACCAAAACATGCTCTGGTCACCTTATTTATACATTTTACTGGGCTTGACCAAATTCTTTCTTGGCTCTCGGTGTTCAAGAACCAGGAAAGCAGAGTGACTTCTTGCTAGTCCCCCGGGCAGAAGGCAAACAAAACACAGGGGACCAAGAACCAGGTGTCAAAAATAAAACAAAACAAACAAAAAAAATATAGGTGAGCAATACAGCGTCTTGCTAGTGCCCTGAACAAGAGTTTGTGTGCCTCATCAGGTACTTCTCTGTCCCCCAGACAGAATCTCACCAGAAACAGCCCCAGATGCCGTAGTAGACACCTTTTGTGACTAGCAACAAGTCAGTTGCTCAGACAGTTGCATGCTGGTTTCTTTTTAGTGTGGCAGTTTGCTCCAACAGTCCACCAAACAAAAGCATGGCTCAGAACCTTGAGGGCATCTTCAAGGTGCACACCTCCAAAGCAGCATTACCATCCCAGGGTCCTGAGTGATGGTCTTGTTTTAGAATTTGGGTTGGGATCATGATCTTGCTGGGGCCTCTAATTGTTAACCCCATCCAATGAGAGTAAAGACTATTACCCAAATTCTTTGGTCAAATTAAGGAAGCTTTATTTTCTGTCAGACAGGGTTATCTCCTTAAAGTAGGCTTTAAGAAAATAGTATCAGGGCTGGAGAGATGACTCAGTGGTTAAGAGCACTGCCTGCTCTTCCAAAGGTCCTGAGTTCAATTCCCGGCAACCACATGGTGTCTCACAACCATCTGTAATGAGGTCTGGTGCCCTCTTCTGGCCTGCAGACATTCACACAGAATATTGTATACATAATAAATAAATAATAAATATTTAAAAAAAGAAAATAGTATCAAACTCAGGAGACGGCAGGATTTATATAGTCCCCCCCCAAACCCTGCAAGACTAGGGAAATTTTAAGGGTTGGGGGATTTCTAGAGGAATTTTGATTACATAGGAACTTGGCTGAACTTTTCAAAACTATTTGGCAGAACATTTTATCTTATCAGAGTGGAGGTTAAGGTATGGAGTGTGGAACATGTCAAATTTCAGAAAATAAATCAAGACATGGTCAAACCCAAGTTTTACAGAAAGTTGGAATGAACTTATTTTGACCTTGTAATAAGATGGCTTTTAATCTTAAGATGGAGTCAGGCTGGTCCATCAATTGCTCCATCCATGGTGGCCTTGGGATTGAGTCTTGTCACAAGCCTATTTACCCTGCCCTTCATTGAAAACCCTCAATGGGGATTACAGGAGACTTGATTATATATGGGATCCCAGGTCCAAGGAGAGATCCCCAGATTGTTCTCTGGACAGAGGAGAGGGTGCCTGAACCGGCCTTGGCCCATAACCATACTGATGAATATTTTGCTTATCACCATCGATCCTTCATCTGGAGATGGATGACGATACAGACGGAGACCCATATTGGAGCACCGGACTGAGCCCCCCAAGGTCCAAATGAGGAGCAGAAGGACGAAGAAAATGAAAAAAGAAATAAGGACTGCGAGGGATGCGATCACCCACTGATACAAGGGACTGATCTAATGAGAGTTCACCAAGGCCAGTTGGACTGGGACTGAATGAGCACGTGATCCAACCAGATTCTCTGAATGTGGCCGGATTCTCTGAATGTGGCTAGCCCGGAGTCTTTCTGAAAAGCCATTGACAATGACACTGGGACTTGTTTCCTCTGCATATACTGAATTTTGGGGGTCCAGTCTGTTTGGATTCTCACCTTCCTGGACCTGGAGGGAGGGGGAGGAGCTTGAACTTCCCACAGGGCAGGAAACCCTGTCTGCCCTTAGGGACGAAGAGGGAGGAGGAGAGGGAGTGGGGGGAGTGGGAGGGTGTTGGGAGGTGGGGCGGAAATGGAAACTTTTATAATTTAATAAAATTACCTTAAAAAAAAAAGAAAGAAAAGAAAACCCTCAATGGGACTTGCTCAGTGTGGCCTGGATCTTACTCCATCCAAGTAGCTCATCTGGGTGTTGACAGAAATGCTTTCAAGGGGTCCTTGGCCTGCTACCAAGTACAAGTTAGCGGTGTTAGGCCTGGGACACCATGTGCCCGCTACATGAGAAGGAGGAAGAAGCCCCAAGAGAAACCTGGAGGAGAACGGAGGCCCTTCTGCTTCTGGTCTGCCTTTCTTCCTGTGGTCCACCAGTCAGCTATCCCACATTCCACCTGAGGGTGGGTGAGCAGGGTCTTGGCCTGGGCATCTATGACCTGGTGACTAGGAAAAGTTCTAAAGAGAAGACCGTCTACCTGGAGTCTTACTTAACTGGAGCTGGGCTTCCTTTCCAGAGATACTAAGGCTGCTTTCAGGTCCATAGTGATGAAGATGAAAGTGTGGGTGTTCTTCTCCTCCACATCTCAAAGATGCTCTGTGCCTGTGCATGTGTTTGCAGATGACGTCTGTCCCCATTGTCTTTGCAGACCACCTCTGCCTCAGTTCAAAGTACAGAGCAAGTCTTTATGGATAACAGGCCCCTAGGCGTGAGCTAGCGTGAAGCAAATAGCAGGAGTGGGGCTAGGGGCCCAGCTGGAGGACATCAGAGAGATCAGGTCTAACCACTTCCCCAACTCACTGGCTCTTCCAGCACCTCATAGGCCTGCCTGGGGAGTCTCCTGCTCTGGGGTAGCTAGCTGTCTCTTTCCTTATTCTTCTCCTGCTGTTGGTGGCCCAATAGCATAATGATCTGTGGAGGCAGGTGTGCAGATGCATCCCCTCTTGCTGTGGGACTGGGGGAGCTCCAGCAATAAAACCCAACCCCTTCCCACAGTTCCCACAGAGCTTCCCACAGCTCTGAGAGTTTCTAGAGATTTGCAGAGTTATGGTTTTACACCGTGACTTCCCAGCCTGGTCCTTGGTTACACTGGGATTTAAAGTTTAGCAGCAGCTCCTCTGGACACCCCAGACAGGACCACACTTTCTGCCTGGGCTCCTCAAGAGCTGGCTCTGCCTCTTGCACACTGGCCTTTATCACTGTGTTAATTTGGAAAACAGGTCACTGGAAATTAAATTTCTCAAAATAGATCATCAATTATAACTACATTCTATTAAAATAAGAGTGTCTGAACTCTTTCTTACCATCATGGAAAGCCACATTCTTGCTGGTGAATTACTGCTATTTCTGTGTCTTATCTTGTAGACACCCTTCTTCAGACTGTGTGAAATGCTTCTGAGGAGACTGTGACTTGGCTTAGAATCTTCAGACGTCACTGTACTGACAGGCAGAGCACGTGACAACCACAGGTAAGATACCGAGCCATCGATAAAAACAAGCAAGCTTTACACACCAACAAAATGGGATCTTCTCATCTAGGTCCTCAAGATGCTCGTCTTTGGTAGCAAAGACCACCCCCGTGTGACCTTGGACCCAAGTCAGAGCTACTTGAGGATGGCTTTGAGCACTCAGGTAGAGAGTCAGGAAGGTTGAGCCAGAGACCCAACAGGAAAGCTTCCATGTTCTGTGTCCACATTCTTCACAGGAGTTCATGAAAAGCTAGTTGAGGAGCTTGCCTAATCATACATCCTCAATGTGTCTTCTCAGGTCCTTTCTTGGATGGGTGGTTCCTATTTATTCCCAGCAGAGAATATGAGCCTACTTTAGCCTACATAAGCCATGTAGTTCATATCGACGGTCAACTTGATAAGAACTAAAAATCACCCAAGAAAAGAGCCTCTGGACTTGTCTGTGAAAGACTTTGAAGCATGATTAATAAAAACTCAGAGAGAGGGGCTGGAGAGATGGCTCAGAGGTTAAGAGCACTGACTGCTCTTCCAGAGGACCCGGGTTCAATTCCCAGCACCCACATGGCAGCTCACAGCTGTCTGAAGATCCAGTTGCAGGGGATCTGACACTTTCACACCATTGCACATAAAATAAAGTTAAATAAACCATAAAAATATAAAAAAAAAACTCAGAGAGAGAAATTGGGATTCAACCTGAAGACCTGAAAAGCAACAGCCACTGGCTCTCACCTCTACTTCAGTCTGAAAATGACGATCCTGCCTCCAGGAATCTCAGATTGAGATTGTGTTTGAGAACTGTTTCCTTTTCTGATTTACAATCCTCTTTAGGGATGGGATTAAAGGTGTGTACCACTGGGATTGAAAGCATGCACCACCCAGTTTCTATGGCAGCTAGTGTGGCTACTGGGATTAAAGGTGTGTGTTACCACTGTCCGGCTGTAAGGCTGACCAGTGTGGCTGTTTTACTCTCCCAATCCCCAGGCAAGCTTTATTTATTAAAATACAATTGAAATGTCACTATAAGACTTTTTAATTTTCTTTTTTTAAAAAAAAGATTTTATACTTATTTATTTTATAAGTGTTTCCCTGAATGTATCCATATGCACTGCATGCATATCTGGTTCCTGTAGAATTTAGAAGAGGGCACCAGATCCCCTGGAACTGGAGTCAGATGGTCTGAAGCCACCCATGTGAGTGTTGGGTGCTGGGAGCCAAGTCTTGGTTCACTGTAAGAGCAGTTAGTGCTCGTAACTTCTGAGCTGTCTTTCCAGCCTTGTGCTTGGTTAGGTTTTCTATTGCTGTGACAACACACCACGACCAAAAGCAACTCGGGAAGTACAGAGCTCATTTGGTCTTACACTATCAGGTAAAAGTTCACCACTGAGGGAACCTGGAGGCAAGTGAGACAGGGTTTACCTGTGATTGAAGCCTGAGCTAAGAGGCAAAATAGTTTACAATTAATATAACCCTCTGTGCATTTCTTTGGGACTGAACGGTTGAGGGACCGGGCGGGACAGAAACTTACGTCTACAGGCAGGACATTTAGCAGAAGCTGGGAAGGGATGCTACTCACTGGCTTTCTCCACGGCTTCCTCAGCTGCTTTTTCATAGAACCAGAACCACCTGCCCAGCGATGGCACCACTGCGATTATCTGGGCCCTCCCAATTCCAGCATTAATCAAGAAAATGCTCCACAGACTTGCCAGTCTGATAGATGCATTTATTTCCTTCCTTCCTTCCTTCCTTCCTTCCTTCCTTCCTTCCTTCCTTCCTTCCT